TGAAGATCTGAAGGTCGCGTGTTCGATCCACGCTCACCGGATTTCTTGATGCAGTTTCTTGAACCGAGAAACCCGGGTCGGATCTTTGCTTCACCGAGCTGTTCTCGTCAACATCGACTGCATTACCATCGTAACAAGCGCATTTGCACCCGAGATTCGCAAGAAAGCTCCTCTTGCTCACCTTTGGGCTAGTGTTCTTTCCCTGCAGGGAACTGCAGCTAGGGTTCTTCTTCTCACCGGATTTCTTGATGCAGTTTCTTGAACCGAGAAACCCGGGTCGGATCTTTGCTTCACCGAGCTGTTCTCGTCAACATCGACTGCATTACCATCGTAACAAGCGCATTTGCACCCGAGATTCGCAAGAAAGCTCCTCTTGCTCACCTTTGGGCTAGTGTTCTTTCCCTGCAGGGAACTGCAGCTAGGGTTCTTCTTCCCATGCATGTTCTGCAGCAACACGCTCTGGCTGTTCCAGCTCGACTCAGACCGGACACTGGCTGTCCCTGTGGATTTCTTCGAGCTTTGCTTGGAATCAATGGTGGTGGTTCTCTCGCTCCTTGGCTGGCTGTAGACTTCTGAGCTAGCCAGAGACACAAGTCTTGGGCTGTTGTCTGAATCCATGTCTCCATTGAAGTACTTCTCAGCCCCAAACACCCCGATTTCGGCATCTTCCGGTTCTTTCTTTGAGATTTTCAGAGTAGTAACACCGTTGCTAAGAAGATCATCCTCCGGATTGATCATATTCAGACTGCCCATCACCGTTCTGCTGGGCTTCTCCTGCGTGAAAGCACCTTCCTTGCTGCCCAAGTAAGAAGGGAATGGACCAAAGAGATTGTTGTTCTTCATGACATCAAAGGATGTCTTTGGCGTTGAAGAAGACGAGGTCAGAGTAACCATTCTCTCTCTCTCTCTGTATGTGTAAATGAAGGAAGGAAGAGGAAGAGAGGTACGGTTACAGCTGAGAAGCCAACGAGGATGTTATGGTTTTCTCTATAAGAGAAAGTGTCCTTCAATAAGAGGGTGGGGCCCATGATGAGACAAGCCCAGTGGCTGTCTGGTTTTTCTTCAATCTTTGTCATCTTCGGAGATTAATTTAAATTATAATTTTTTTTTATTTCCCCGTGACGTCCAAACAATAATGCAATCCCTCAATTCGAATGCGACTTATCAATAAGAATTTATCCATTGACGGTACTATGTGTGTGTGTGTGTATATATATATATATATATATATATATATATAGATTATGTATTACAGGGTTAGACTAAATGCAACCGTATCTGAACCTACGTATTTATTGCTAGCTTTCAATGGTTATAAATAAAATGAAATAGACGTACCATAAAATGATAGTAAAGGATCTATTTATCCTATTAATTGAATATGTTTTGGAACAGTTGTTAGAAAAATCAAAATACGGACAATTTTCGAACAGACTGTGCTGTTTACTGTGTTGCATGAGGTGTCTCTGGAATCAGTCGGGTAGGATTTTTTTCTTGATCACATTATAAAATAAAAATAAAAATAATAATACGAGTGGATGTGAATTTCTCTTGTAGAGGAAAAATACAAAGAAGGGCGATGAGGAGGAGGCACGAGGGATGTACGTATTTTGTTGCATGGGAGGGGGAGATCTTGTCAGTCTTTCAAGTTGGATTTGATAATCCGAAAAAGAATCAAAATAATTGGGAGATTTGTTGGAATCGATTAGACCTCTCATTTCTTTTTTAATTTATAATATATATATATATCGCTTTATTGTTATCATTGGTTATGAAAAGAATTTAATGATTAAAAATATTTTATTTTGATAGAACTTTAAATATAATACATAAACTTCTACTGTTATTTGATTTTTTTTATATTCTATAATTGATGAAAAAGATAACTAAAATATATAGATTATTTATGGTGTTTTGTGAATAAATCTTTTTGAAAGAGAAACAACATGTATGTATGCAATCTATCTATAACTAAACCAATATAAAATTAGAAAAAACTAAAATGTGAAGGTGTTCACATATGACAAGTCATGAGTCTTTGCGAGGGAAAATATTAATAATATATATATATATATATATAATATTTCAAAGGCCTAATATCTATCAGAAAAGGCCCAAAAAAAAGGCCCACAAAGTACTCGGCCCGGCTCGGACCGGCCGGGTCGTTAACCGACCCATGATTCGGATCTTATCTTCATCTTCTTCGTCTCCTCTCTGCAACACAGAAGAAGTTCTACGAGGAAAACACCAACCAATTAAAAAAAAAAGGACAAAACTTTTCAAATGGTTTCGCCTCTAATCTCGTGCTTTTCTCGATCTTCTCTTCTCTGTTTCTCCGATCGCCGGAGTTCTTTACCGCCGACGACTTGTTTCCGTTCCGGTTTGAGCCGGTTTGCTCTGGGTTTTGCTAACCGGCGGTTAGTTGATGTTAACCGGAGATTGAAATCGGTTTGCTTCTTCAATGCGGGAAAGGAATCTGGAGGAGAGGGAAAGGTACAGTTTCTGTTCTTCGTCTCGAGTTTGGTCTGATTCTTGTTCGGTTCCTGAGATGTAAAAAAAAACGTCTGTCTGATTCCGGTTGCTATTGATTTTGAATGTAGAAGTAGAGCAAAGATTCATGCTTTGATCTGTTACCTAGTTACAGGAAGCCAGCAGCTCAGAGTGGCCGATACTTCAAAGATGGGAAGTCCCATGGGAATGGCAGACTGTTTCGCTCACATCGCTTGCTTGCGGCTTAAGGTATCTTCTCACTGCTTTTTCCCTCGCTGCTCCCATGGCTTCCAAAGGTATAAAGGAAGCATCTTTTGTGGGTGAGTCATGGTAGAAGTTGCCGTGAAAATGGAGATTGGATTGGAGTATATGGGTAATAGTGATGGTTCAGTTGATTGTGATGTGAAACTTGACGACTTTCTTCTCTCTCCCTCTTGGTTATGATAATGTCTTGCAAGCCTATAGGGGGTAATGTTCAGTGAAAAGTTTTCCTCATGGAACAGATTATCATATGGAGCTTTGTGAAGAGCTGTGTTTGGTATTTTGATCAATGACTGTTGAGTGTTTTGTGGTATGTAGTAAGATTAATTTTTTTTCCCAGGCAGTTTTGTTTTGACAGGAGTAACTGAGATGGCGGTCCTTCCGTATCTAGGAATCAAGATCGAAGAACTAAGCTTGGACGAGAAAGCAGAAATTCTATTCCTCGATCAAGGGTACATTATAGGCTATAGCTATTTTTTCGTATATTCGTTCTGAGATCTTATACTTTGTCACTCTAACCTCGTTCTAGACTTTTCGTCCGGTAGAATTTACATCGTAAGAATCGGTTCTCTCTTATGAGTTCTTCGTTCTGTTTCTTCATAAGTATAGCGAGGGTTACGTTAAGTTCGCTTTAATATTGGCAGCATAACTACCGCAGCAGTTCTCGGTGTCATATTTACTGTTGCCAAAACCTTCGATCCACTCCCTGAAGATATTTTTCGCTATGGTAAGGAATTTATGTTGTCAGAACAAGAAGCAGTTCTGGGTTCTTGTTTATATTTCTTGCTTACCATGTTACTGATTGAATGTATATGAGCTTTCCCTTCATTCTTCAGATTTAAGACAACCCTTCGACCTGCAGAAGGGGTGGCTCCTGTGGGGTGGGATCGGTCTGGTTGGTGCTGTTGGTTCTATCGCGTTAGTAGGAACTGTGCTTTCCTTGTTCAGAGGGGAGATGCCGGAGAGAGAGGTTAGGAGAAACAATACCGTATTTTGATTTTGTGAACCCATGAGAATTCTTGATATACCGATTTGCATTTCTGAAAATATATGGCGGATGATGTTTATGACATACATTGAGGCTAGTCTTGTTTGTGTTTCATGTTGGGATCTTGTCTTCAGGTAGATTCATTGGTTAAACTCCTACCATTGATTGGATCATCAAACATAAGGTACTTGTCTTCGATAGTAGCATTTGATGACCGGGCATATGATTTTGACCACTCCAAATGATTAAACAGCACCTTAAGCTTGGTGGGAATCACCGGAATTCTGGCTCCAGTTCTAGAGGAGACGGTGTTTCGAGGGTTCTTCATGGTCTCCCTCACAAAATGGCAAGCTTTCTCTTCTCTGACCTGACGGACCCCCTTGCGAAATGACACTATCTATTCGTGGTTTCAGTTCAGACAAAGGTGAACTCATTTTGGTTATGTTCTGTCATCAGGGTTCCGACCCCCATTGCTGTCACTATCAGTGCAGCCGCATTTGCTCTCGCCCATCTCACTCCCGGTCAATTCCCTCAGCTGTTTGTCCTCGGTAACTTTTTTTTTCAGACAGTAAATCTCCTCATCCTTAATATAATCAAGTGTTTCTGGATATTCATAACTTTCCATTGCATCACCATCTGCTTTACCATATCAATGTGTAGGAACTGTGTTGGGATTCTCATACGCTCAGACCCGCAATCTTGTTACGCCCATCATGATCCATGGTTTTTGGAACTCTGGAGTCATTTTGCTTCTCACCTTCCTTCAGGTACAGAACTGATGAATTAAAGTTCATCATGTGCAGGGGGGGGGGGGGTTTCATGCCATAGGGGGGAATCATTATTTAATCCAACATGTGTTTTTTTTTTTTTTTTTTTTGTGTGTAGCTTCAAGGGTATGACATCAAGGAACTGTTACAGGCAAAGTAGCTTCAAGCTTTTCAATGTTGCATGTAAGAAACTCAGCCTCAAGACTTAAGAGCTGCAGATGAAAATTCCAACAACAGATCTTCTTTTCCTGTTTTTTTTTTAAAATACTATTATGGGCTAAGATCTGGAACTGAGAAGATTCCAAAAAACATAAGCAAGAGAGATCATATAAAGGCAGAAATTGCCAAAGCCATGAGTTGAAAACAAAGTTAAAGGGCAAGTACTGACAAGAGAATCTGAAAACCAGACAGCAACAGTTATTTAAATCTAGCTCCTGGAAGCAAGCTTCTCCTTGGCTTTCTGAAGTTTCAAAACCTTCTTCACAATCTTTTGTTCTTCCACCAGAAAAGCACGAATGATCCTACAAAGAGTAAACAAGAAATTTATCAGAGGTGTTAATGTAATGGTTATGGCTTTTCATCAAAGATTTCGCATCAAGTTACATGAACAAACCTCTCCTTAACAGCAGAACTAGAGAGTACTCCACCATAAACACGGTTCACTGTCCTCCGGTTTCTTGCCAATCTCGACACCTTGTATTCTGCAGGCCTCAAATGCGGGATCTGCATTCCACCACAATGTTCAACAAGAATCTTGGTTAAAATTTTGAAGTTAAGATCTTGTGATGATTCAGAAATCATATAAGGTCAAAGGTATAGAGAAAAGAAACTGAATATCTTTAAACTAATTGAATAATTTGAAGTTTAAATTCTTCAAATGTTCATATGATTAGATGAAAAAGACATTTCAAAGTGTAATAGAAATTTAAACCAAGTTCAATCCATGCCCTTTCAATTCTCTTGGTTAAAATTACTAAAAAAGGACATTGTAAATATATAAAGATCAAAGGAATTGAACGCATAGAGCTTAAAGAAATACAAGCCCAAAATCCACAGATTCTATGCCCATTTAGGGATCGCAAAACACAAAATTCAGCACAATGCAGCATTTGCTTATGGTACGAACAAAAGTTGTTTAAAGTTTCAGCGGCGGCTGGATAGCCATTGCTCATAGAACAAGGAACAGCTTGAAAGACAAAGCAGCATACTTTAATCTAGCTCATGATCATGTTATGTGCTGACGGAAGAACATCTAATCAGCACAAGACCGTCTATAAGCACTACTATGATAAAGAAATGGATCTTCTTAGCCAGTAATGGAATCCCAAAGCATAAAAAAAGGATCTTTACACTAATTATCCGATTCAAAGGCTCAAAATTTTCCCACACGTTTCAATGATTCGATAAAGAGTGTACTCATTTCTCTGATCAAGAGAAACCCTAATCTCAAAATCAATGCAGAAAGAGATGGGATCATGGATTAACAAAAATTCAATAGTTTACCCCTTGAATCCTCTTGCCAGTGACAGGGCACTTGGGTCCACTAGCTCTCTTCTTCGTTGTCTGGTAAACCAGCCTTCCACCTGTATCAACACATAATACAGGAAAAATGAGATATCACCATAATCACGCATAAAACAATCATAAATAGTACAAACAAAAGGTAAATCCATGAAGCTACCGAGATCTATCACGGAAATGCGACAACCATAAACGCGATTCAGGGAGATATGATACGAAAAATGAAGAGAGAACCAGATCGTTAACCAAAAACAGTATAAGAAGAAGGTGGAATCGAACCAGGAGTTTTGACGACCCGGTGCTGGTTGGACTTCGTGGCAAAGCTATGCCTTCCACGATACGTAAGCCTCTGCACCATTTCCACCGAATTCCTAAATTTCCTCTTGTAGGGTTCTGGTTTGTAACAGTACCAGCGAACAAAGAGAGAGGAAATAGGGTTTTATCTAGGTGACGAAAGTAAAGATGATGAGTTGATCTTCAGATCCCTAGATCTAACGGCTGTTATGTGATATCGGTGTAAGATCAAATCAACGGCTGTCATTTCTCCAATCTATTTTGGGCTTAAAAGCCCAAAACTGATTCACTTCGGGTCAAAGCCGATCCGGCTATGAACCGAACTAGGTATTAACCCGCTTTGATGTTCGGATCCTTCCGAATCAAGAGGAGACTTGTCATTTTTGGATTTTATCAATATCTCCTTCGCAGGAAGTCGCGAGCAGAAGATGAGAAGCTTTAGCTCAGAGTTTTAATGGCGGCATCCCTATCTCCATCTGCTATATCGTTCTTTCGTACAGAATCCAAAGTGAAGTCTTCGGAAGTTGATATTCTGAGTTTACCGAACCCTAGTATTCTAATACCCAAATGCACTTCTCTGCGAGAGCTGATACAAATTCAGGCCTTTGCGATCAAAACCCACCTCCAGAACGATCTTTCCTTCATCACCAAGCTCATAAACTGGTGCACTGAATATCCGACGTCCACATCCATGGCGTACGCGCGCCACTTGTTCGACACAATGCCTGAACCAGATATTGTGGTTTTCAACTCAATGTCTCGTGGGTATTCCCGATCCAAGACACCGCTCGAAGCTTTCTGCATCTTCGTCGAGATCCTAGATCATGGGCTTTTGCCCGATGACTACACTTTCCCGTCTCTCCTCAAGGCTTGCTCTGCAGCGAAAGCTCTGGAGGAAGGTAGGCAGTTGCATTGTTTCGGGATGAAATTCGGGCTGGACGACAATGAATATGTGTGTCCTACGCTGATCAACATGTACATGCAGTGTGAAGATGTGGATTCAGCTCGTTGGGTCTTTGATCGGATGGTTAAACCCTGTCTCGTCTCGTATAACGCCATGATCACAGGTTATGCAAGAAGCAACAGACCGAACGAGGCTTTATCCTTGTTCCGTGAAATGCAAGGTAAGAACTTGAAGCCGAATGACATCACCCTTCTCAGTGTCCTGTCTTCATGTGCTTTGCTCGGATCGTTAGATTTAGGGAATTGGATACACGACTTCGCCAAGAAACGCGGGTTCTGTGAATACATGAAGGTAAACACTGCTTTGATCGATATGTTTGGCAAATGCGGTAGCTTGGATGGTGCTGTGTCTGTTTTCAAAGGCATGAGCCAGAAAGATACGCAAGCTTGGTCGGCCATGATTGTGGCTTATGCAAATCATGGGCAAGCTCACAAAGCCATGTCCATGTTTGAGGAAATGAGGAATCAAAACGTGCAGCCTGATGAGATCACGTTTCTTGGTCTGCTTAATGCTTGTAGCCACACCGGTCTAGTGGATGAAGGCCGTGAATACTTCTCACGTATGGTGGATGAATTCAAGATAGTTCCGAGCATAAAGCATTATGGTTGTATGGTGGATCTTCTTGGTAGAGCTGGACACTTGCATGAAGCGTATAGATTCATTGACGAACTTCCAACAAACCCTACGCCGGTATTGTGGCGGATTCTCTTATCAGCTTGCAGTAGCCATAACGATTTGGAGTTAGCTAAAAGGGTAATGGAAAGGATCTTTGAGCTCGATGTCTCTCACGGTGGCGATTACGTGATTTTATCAAACTTATGTGCGAGAAACGGGAAATGGGAGGAAGTCGATTCTCTGAGAAAGCTAATGAAGGATCGTAGAGTGGTGAAAATCCCCGGATGCAGTTCCATAGAGGTAAATAACATAGTTCACGAGTTTTTCTCGGGTGACGGGGTTAGTACCGTCTCTTCAGATGTACATAGAGCTTTGGATGAATTGGTGAAAGAGCTGAGGCTTTCAGGGTATGTTCCTGATACATCCATGGTGGTCCATGCCGATATGAACGACAAAGAAAAGGAGATAACGTTAAGATATCATAGCGAAAAGCTCGCCATTGCGTATGGATTGATGAACACTCCTCCTGGAACGACGATTAGGGTTGTGAAGAATCTTAGGGTTTGTCGAGATTGCCATTCCGCCGCTAAGCTGATCTCCTTCATCTTTGGTAGGCAGATTGTTCTCAGAGATGTTCAGAGGTTTCATCACTTTGAAGATGGCAAGTGTTCTTGTGGGGATTTCTGGTAATGCAATTGTAAATGTTTCCAACCATAATCTCTAATCCATTATTACAATATGTACATCTCTGTCAACTTGTGAGAACTAAGTTTCAGTTTCAGTAATGAAGTTAAAATCATCATATCCAAAAAAACAAGACATGTTTTTTTCAGAACAATATATCCAAGAACGACCCTTTTGTGGATGGATTTGTAACAAAAACCTGGAAACAAAAATCAGTGAAAAAAACCCTAGTTTGGCAAGAACCCATGTCGAGAGATTGCAACCTCGAAAGCCTGCATTCTGTCACCTCGAGCATTGCCATTTCGATCGTAAGTCGAAATCTCGTCGATGTTAAGTTCGATAGAAGCCTTGACGAGTTCTTCCCCTACCCTTTTTGCCGCTTCCTGGAATGCATAAACATTAACAGAGAACCACATTGGCAAGAGAAATCTCCGAACCAAAAGACTCCAAAACGATAAGAACCGCTCAACGGATTCACCTAAGAATGAAGACTGAAAACTGAAAGAAATCCAATCATTTATGTCGATGGGCGAACATTTTCCACCAACATGAGTAAATACAGCTCAAAACCCGAATCGAGCAATGCCAAGAGAAGCAGAGACCCGGAGAAAAATGTCACCGGCCCAGAATTCAGAGGGAAACATCGAGCGGAATCGGATTGAAGTGGCGTTTGATCAAGTGATTATCACATTAAAAGGGTCAAAGTTTGAGTTTTTTTTTTTTTTTGCAACTTTCACTTCTTCTGTAACACGGAGATTCAAACAAGAGAACTGGGACAAGGGAAAG